GGGGGGCAGGCCGAGACAAAATATCAAAATAAGCAACTCCTACTGGGGTCTGTACAGTGTAGGCTGTTTCACCAAAGGAGAGCTTGTAATTCCACATGGTAAATGTAAGTGTTTGGGTCTATGGCCCCCATCAACAATATTTGATTATTCCGAATTTAACATTCATTTTTGATAGAACCAAGCCAAATGGACCAAGAGCTTTAAAAGCTTTACAAAACGACCTCACTTCAAGAATACCCGGGTGAGATTCAAACCAGGGCCATCTACTCCAAAGTCCAGCATGATACCAACTGAACTAACCTGCCGCCTGCCACTATAGTCTGTCTGCCGTGGACCTGGGGCACATGCTTTATTCATCTCAACAAAAATTACTGCTCGGGGCCTTTTTTTAGTTCAGAATTAAAATGTACACAAGTCAATACATGTGAGGATAACCAACAGGTGACGAAGTTTGGTACAACGTACAAGTCAAAGAGGTGTTGCAGCCCTTTGGTGAATTCTTGCAGATTGATTTTGCGGTCTCCACCCTCTCCGTCGAAGAAGATGAAAGCTTCCTGAAAGGAGATTACACAGCAGATTAAGTAACGACTCTATCATTTATGTTGTTGTTGTTGTTGTTTGTGTTGTTGTTGTTGTTGTTGTTGTTGTTGTTGTTGTTGTTGTTGTTGTTATTGCTGCTGTTGCTGTTTTTAATGATGGTAGTGGTGATGGTGATAGTGATGTCTTCGTTGTCGTAAAAATCGTCGCAAGTATAGATTTTGCAATCATTTCTGTTTTGTTGTTGTGCTGCTGTTGCTGTTGCTGCTGCTGCGATTAAAGATGTTGTTGACGCTACAACTAAAACTGTTGTTCTTAGATGCCACTTTCCTTGCTTGCTTGATTTTGTTAAATCTTATGCTTTTTAAGCTCGCTAGATTATTTCATGGTATGGGCCTTCGTTTTTATCACCAGTGCCTGATTATAATCTAATCTAACCTGTCCCCGTGGTTTTATACACCTCGCAAAATTTAGCAAAATTTGATCATTTTTTGCATAATTTCTGATTATTTTCCTTTATCATTCTTTGTTTTTAAAAAAATAACAGAATCGCATAGTTTCGCATTTTTGGGCTCAGTTTGCATAATTTCAGAATGTTCCTTGCATAAAACGACGGGTAGCGCACTATGAATATTCCGCCTGCAAGCAGCGAAAGTCCAACGTTGTCATTATTAGGGTTTCAAACCAAGCTCATTAATTTGCACCGCTGTAAAGAACATTTCAAACTGAGCTGACAAGTGACAGAGCACCGGGTAATTAGTTTTATTGACTGAAACACTGCGAAAAGAAGTGAATTCAAGATATTATTCAAGATTATTTTGTACCCAGTTGTGTAGATTTATTCAAATCCCTCTTTGAACACGACATAACTTCAATACTTTTAAATCCAATCTATTGGCATGAAAACTGTCTACAATCCAATCAAAATTGAGTTGTATGTCAACGGACAAATTTTAATCTGACCCGAAGACAAACGTTCATATTCTTATGCTTGTTTGGTCCTAAGATACTGGTCATGTAAGTCACTCTGTCGCGTTGTGCCACGTTTTAAAAAATCAAGGTTTTAATAGTGTTAAACATCGCTTCTTCTACAAAAGCGACATCACTCGTGAAACATCGATGATGAGATTCACTTCTCATTGCATAGAGGAAGAAAATGTCTTTCTCTGCTATCATCTAGAAAAATAAAAAGAAACTACTACCAAGGTGACAATCTTCAAATTTCTTTTGCATTTCCAGGTTAATTTTCTTTTAATTTAACTGTGTTTTATGTAAAGTGTTAGCCCCACATTTGTCGAAACTGAACTCAGCTAGCAATTCTTAACGCGGACGACTTTTTTCAATTGCAAGTTACATCCAACTGTACGAAGCAAAAAAACAAACATAGCTGGCTTACAAATCGAGAAAGCACAATGAATTCATAGTGTGGGAAAAGAAACAGAAAACGAAAATCTATCGTGCTGTACTAGAGAAATCTACTACGTGTTTTATTTAGTTTTCAAAGGGCACTGTCTTACTTTATTAGCAATTACGCAAAATGCTCAAAGGATAAATCGATCAAAGGGAAGAAAAGTGGTTTTCTAGATTCAGTATTACACCACAGGGCACATTTTGAATCCAAATGATACTCCCGTAGGCGAAATTATAGAAAAATACAAAGAGCGGAGAAGAAGATTTTCTAAGAGGAAATTGGTAAATCTGTTTCTTATTTCCTCGGGCGAAGCTTTTTTGAACAGTTGCATTTTTTAGATACACAACAAGAGTTCGCTTCCCGACACTTGTATTTCAACGCGTCGCATGAAATTGGCTTCAGACGAGAAACTCTATAGATCGCAAGGTTCGCTTTCTCCCACAAAAAACACCTTTTAGAAAAACAGTGAAACTCAAATCAATAGACTTTTTCTCAGGATATATGATTATATAATTTCTTACTACGAGCTAGAGAAAAATGTGTGTCAGTTTGAGAGATTTCGATTCCGTTGGAATGACTGTTATCAACATCTTATAAGTCTCTCTGGAGCCGTGTGGCGTCCGTAAATAGCGACTGTAGAGTTGATGTGTGTGTGTGCGTGTGTGTGTGTGTGTGTGTGTGTGTGTGTGTGTGTGTGTGT